ATAATGTATAGAGCGTTTTCACGTGACATCATCAAAATTCTAAATTCAAAAACTATTGATCATACAAAGCTGTTCTTTTAGTATATTCTAGACATCAGTGTCGCTAATTGCTGGGGGAAATGTTGCGCCAGCAGAGTGCTTCATTTTGGAGATAAAGCGTTTTGAAATTTGAGACGGCCTGGCTCAATGTGACCTGAAATGTTACAGAAACCAATATTTTCGCACTTTTTAAATAATTTTCCGATATGCTAACAAGTTAAAAATGACAACTAAAGCATTCCGAACTAAAATCTCATGACTTTGGAAGCAAACTCTTTTTTTCTTCTCGCTGACATTTTTGGCCGCCATATTGGTGTTCCAAACTGGTACACCAATATGGCGGACCCATACTAAGCTCTGTAATTTTCCGAATATTGTTTTCCCGATAACTTCGTTGCAATGAAAACTGCCAAGTTAAAATTTGGGGAATATATTTATTTCCACCTACTCTACAATCTCTGAGTTTGTTGATGTTTCTGATGCACGCAAAACGATCTTGTTATTTTGGTGAAAACGCTCTATAGGCTACGATGATAAATCAGTCCAACACACTTGAAACTACTTCATTCATTTGAAGTATCCTTTCCAGCCTCGTTCCCAGGGTCTACTCCGCTTTCAAGATGGCGGCTGGGCGCGGAGAAGACCCCCAGCCGCCATCTTGAAAGCGGAGTAGACCCTGGGAACGAGGTTGTATCCTTTCTTTCTTTGAAGCGAAATCCTCGTAAAAGCGAATACTTTATTATCGAAGCGGTTCGAATGCAAACAAAATTAAAACCTATATTACGTATTAATTCTGAACCAAAAATAAATAAACAGAATGACAAGAGCAAAACTTTATACGGCATGCATTGAAACTCTGGTCCTGTCGCGATCCGTTTTTCTTTATTTTCTTTCGTTTCGTTCTTTTCTTTTGTTTCAGTACACGACCGTTTCTCGGCCGCGTGAATGTCATTGTGGCTTTCACGGTACTCTCGCTATCTTGATAATTCATAGTATGAAAATAAACTGTCAAGTTAAACTTCCTGCCATTCAGTTACCTTTGATTATGTCCTCGATTTCTCCCACAGTGAATACATTTTAGCGAATTTAAAAGACCATGCAATTTTATTGCTTTCAATTGCTTTGAAGACGATTTGTTAGGGAGACAACCGAAAGTACGAGATGTGACGCGCAAGCCACGTTTTTGGCACGAATATTAACTGCTTCAAGTTTTCAATAGCTCTACACAATATAATCATGTTGCAACATTTGTTTTGTGAAAATCCGTCATTAAAGTGCAGAGTTTATCCCTTTTTCGAAACTTTCCATGAATGTCGTTTGATTGCGAATCTGGGTACGGTAATTGACAAAAACGACAGGTTTGAAGACAATAAATGGCTTTGTAGTACAAAGCACTGCATTGACTACTGATGACCGTAATAGACCTTTCTCCAAAATGGCCGCCGTAAATTCATATTAAACTGAGCGGAAAATCAATACCAGCACCTGAAAGACCACCCCTTGTTTGGTAATCGTACGAAGGGTGGTTAGGTTAGGTTCTACCTGAGTCGAGAAAACGGAAGTTGAAAACTGGAAAATTTAGAGCCGTTTGTATGACGCCTCTAAATTTTCCCGTTTTCAATTTCTGTTTTCTCGACTCAGGTAGAACCTAACCTAACAAACCTTTGTACGATTACCAAACAAGAGGTGGTCTTTCAGGTGCTGGTATTGATTTCCCGCTCAGTTTAATTTTAATCATTTTGAATTTGCGGCGGCCATTTTGGAGAAAGGTCTATTGTCAGAAATACAATACTGAAAAAGTTTGTTTTGATTTTGCCAACAGGATTACTGGAGCACCACTACAGGATCGCCACCAAAAAGATGCAACACAAAACTACGAGCTCATAAATGGAACTGAAGATGGCGGACAAACTGTCGTGGAGTTCTCCAGGGATGCTCTTACACAAGACGATAAAGATGTGCAGTTTAGGGTAAGTAAGTAAATAAATAAATAAATGAATAAATAGACAACTTTAGACAACAACAACAGCGCAGACAGCGCAGCTAACAAACCAGTGGCCCTCCTTAAAGATAAAAACTACTTAATTATAAAAAAAACTTATACTATGGGAATGTTGAGAACGGTAAAAAAAAGTAAGAAGAGATATATCAGGAGCCCTGGCTCCTGGATATATATAATTGACGGACTATCCTGAGACTCGCAAATGAATGAATGAATGAGAACTTTATTAAAGTGTCAAGAACCTTGTAGCCTGGTAATAATATACCATACTAATTAGGGGACACTGCTAAAAAAAAACTACACTAATACTAATATTAATACAATAAGAATATATATAAGTGATATAAAAATGTTATTGTAGTAGATCATAATTAAGTTCAGATTCGTACTTAGCTCTAAATTTGTTGTCAGGGAACTATCATAAACTCCCAGGGGTACTCCCATATAAAAGCTGTACGGGTATGATGTGCCGCTGGTGGGGGGTTTGACCGTTTCTGGGTTGAGATGGGATGTTTCGGCATTTTTCGCTGTAGTACTGTTTGCATTACATGTAAGTGGTCGTATACATAAGCAATTATGGCAGAAGAATTTACTACATCTCGCGATGTACATTGTATTTACAATTTCCATTGATTTTAAGGTAAAACATGGTCTCTTATTTTATGTACCTGTTTACCTGCTGAAAATATCAATGGTTTTCTAATGGAATAGACCGCGCTTGACTCGCCCCCAGTTTTTCGCGCGGCCATTTTCCGATCGCGAATTTTTATCACTCTCGCTCGACGGACTAAGCTGGGAAAGAGGGACTGCTCGTAGTCTATTAATGGCAATTGTTGCACTGCCAAATTTGGAAACTGTTATTTCTGCAGGAAGGTATTTTAGTATCTCAAATAAATACAGTTCAGCTCGTTTTAACCAACCACATTTCAGAAATTTCTTAGCCAACAACAACAACAACAACATTTATTTGTACCGAAAAGAAAGGGGAACAAGTTACAATATTATTAAAATAAGGTACTAGCTGCCTAGAACAACCGTATAGGGCTAGACAATTTTTTTAGCTATCTACAGAATTAGGAAAATTGTAGTATCGGTCTTTCATGTATTTAACAAATAAAGAAGCCAAAACCATGTATTATACTGTCATAAAACACGACGGGAATTTGACAACACGAGAGAAATTTAGAAAACACGAGCCGCAGGCGAGTGTTTTCTAAATTTCTCGAGTGTTCTCAAATTCCCGGAGTGTTTTATGACAGTATAATACATGGTTTTGGCTTCTTTATGTGCTTTAAAATATAGATTTACGCGCGCAAAACGATAAAACACGCTTTTCTATGTTTTATACTCTGATAAAACATGGTTTTTAACCAATCAGAGCGCGCGAAATTTTCAGTTTATATTTTAAAGGTAGATAAATATATAAATGAAATAATATATAGATGAAGGGAAAAAAAAAAAAAACGGTAATTAGGATAAGAGTAGGAAAAAAAGTTCATTGAAATGACATAAACAATATTGCTATTTAAATAATTAATATGAATTGATAATATAAGGCCCCGTTCAGACTAGGTGCTGGGAGCAAGCACCAGTCTGAAGGTGCCCGAGCAAAATTCTGGGCACTGTGCCCGGGCACGGGCAGTATCTCAAAGTGTAGTACTCGGGCACCGTTCCCGGGAACGGGCACTTGTCTGAACAGGCTTTCGTCAGTGCCACCTCTATTGAAAAGGTTAGCCTACCAACATTGAGACCGGTTGGATCAAAATCTAGGAGAGAACTCTTTAACTACAGTCCAGGGCATTGGGGAACGCCCATTTCTGAACAACGCCCATTTTAGCATCTGGACACTCTGCCCCGGAATGGACACCTAGTCTGAATGGGGCCTAACACTTCAATTTCTAAATCAAGTCTTTTTTTTATTATTTCCAGAATGATACCGAAGTCAAGGTTGTATGGGCTTACCACAGCAGTAACGATGCAAATGCTGGCCTGTCAAAACACGATGCGACGGGAATATTGAGCGGCAGGTATAACCTGATAATGATGGCTATGTTAGCCATGCAGTCACCTTCAACAACAGTGGGCATACAGCCATCCGCGACAATGATAACTGCAACTTCATCAAGGGATTCAGGAGGTCCGACGACTGCGCCTCCATCCTATCAAAGCCTTGCGTCTACTGACGGTTACTTCAAGCTACAATGGACTTATGAAAACAAAAAGTTGATATTCATAATTACTTGTAAAACGACAGGCTGGTGTGCTGTAGGGTTTACCATAAATCCTGGCGGACGGTACATGAACGATTACGATATAGTGGCTGGCGGGTTTGCTTCTGGTGCGGGATATATTGGTGTAAGTCAATCTAAACTGTGTTGTTGTTTTTCACTTTTTGTGTCAGTCAGAGTCGGCTAGGGGGTATGACATAAATGGCTATGTAGTCTGTTACCTGTTTTAGACAAGGTAACGTTAGTGTTCGGGGCCAAACTGGCCCACACTGCTGGAGCTTATCCCAGTTTCCGTATAGCATGAGGCCGACTAGAAGTGTTGCTACTCCACCTGGATGGGACGCTGGTCTAACGCCAGGTTACCACCGAACTGTTAGGGCAACCTAACAAAAACGCTGGGTGACCCAGCTAGCGTTTTTGTTAGGTTGCCCTAACAGCTCGCCGGTATCAATATACTCCTGTGTGGAGAGAGAGGCACTGTGAGAGTAAATTGTCTTGCCCAATAGACCATTTTACAGTTCTGTGAAATGTAACCAAGCCTCTGTATGAAAGCGAGGTTTGGGGTGACCATGAGATGATAGAGATCAGAAACTAGTTAACATAATAACAGAATAATCTACATTTGAAAAGAAGGAAGGTTTTGTATCACAACAAAGACACCTCCAGCCTCACTTCTGTTCAAAGGCCTGGATTCTAACTGTAAAATGGACTATTGCAATAACACAACACAATGACCCCGGCCAGGGCTTGAACCCGGCGGACCGCTCGATCCGGAGTCCAGCGCGCTAACCATTAGGCCACCGCGTCTCCCACCGTCTGTTTGACATTTAGATGTAATGTTGTAACATTTGGGGAAATCCACCATTAATGTGCATAGTTTATTATTTTTTCCAAACTGTCCATGGTATCGTAAAAACGTCAGGTCGAGATAGAGATTCTGATTGGTTGATTACAAATTTGGGTACGGTAATTGACAAGAACGGCAGGTTTGAAGACAATAAATGGCTTTGTAGTACTAAGTATTCACTCTGCACTGTAATGACCGTAATTATTACCAATACAATAAAAAGTTTGCTTTGATTTTTCCAACAGGATTACTGGAGTACCGCTACAGGACTGCCACCAAGAGATGCAACGCAAAACGTCCAGCTCATGGAGGCAAAGTGAAAATGGCGGATATACAGTTGTGAAGTTCTCCAGGGATGCTGTTACAGGAGACGATAAAGATGTGCAGTTTAAGGTAATTACCCGGGGGGGTACTCCCTATAATGGACTATACGGGGAGGCTCCGCGCGAAAGGGGTACCTTTTCAGACTGGAGGTATATAAAAGGGTAGGGATTTCACGAGTTGGAGTATAGAAAAGGGTAGCAATTTCACGAGTTGGAGTATAGAAAAGGGTAGGGAAAACTGTCATTTAGGTATGAGGTGGACGGCAGGTTTCTTAGCCATGGTAAGACAGCTTCCTTCCACTTCCTTCTGAGGATATAAATTGTTCATTAAGTTCATTCCAAGGGTATAGAAAAGGGATGTAGTGTTTCTACTGTAGGTATGTGAAAGGGGTACCATTTTCATAATTTATATGGAAGGTATATGAAAGGGGTATCATTTTCCATAGAAGGTATATGAAAGGGGTACCTTTTCTGTCAAAAATGGTATATAAAAGGGTAAGGGGTTGGACCTCTCGGCGGAGCCTCCCCGTATAAAACTTTTTTGAGTACCCCCGGGGGGTAATTAAGGTTCAACTACAAGGCATCTAATTGAATGATTTACCGTAAAAGCTCTATTAAGCCTCCGGGGGGCTTATTTAATTTCAGGCCTCAAGAAGGGGGGCTTATTAGAGAGGGGGGCTTAATAGTGAGGGGGGACTTATTACAAAATCTGGCTTCCAAAGGGGGGCCTTATAAGATAGGGGGGACTTAATAGAGAGGGGGGCTAAATAGAGCTTTTACGGTAATCAGAGAAGTGTAAAACTAACAAGGCCAGGCTTTTTGACAACAACAAGAGAGACTGATCTAAGAGAAGGATTCCCCGCGCCCCAGGATATTTTTTTCAAATCTATTAATAGACTTAATAGTTTCGCGCCAAGTTATTTTTATTTCCTTCTGGTCGAGGTTCCGACATCACGTTACTCGAACTGACCAATCGGATAGCGCTATTAAAATAGCTCAGCTATGGACTGAAACTAAAAATAGATTTCAAAAATTATCATTGCAAGAGACCCATGTATGGGGGAATGCTTCTCTTAGATCATCCTCTCTTAACAACGAACAAAGAAGAGAAAACAGAGAACTGACCAACTTCGTTCCCAGGGTCGCTCTTCTTCTCGCCGCCTGCAGCGAGTAAGGGCGGGAAGAAATGGGACTCTGGGAACGAGTTTGAAAACTGACGCAACAAAGGTAGCCAGGGGGTGGAGGGTTGGGAGGACTGTTAGGTTTTTTTACACAACTTAAATATATGGTTAAAATAGGCCTTATTCACGACAGCCGCCATGATGGTTTTCATATTTTAACGGAAATTAATCACTTGATTACTGAGGGGGCAAACAATTAAGAGATTTATTTGTATTTATTTGTGTTCGTGGCGTTCGTGTGTTCGTGGCGTTCCTGGCGTCCATGGCGTGTGACTTTTTGTGGCGTTCGTGGCACGGTTATCGTTGTAGACATGGCAGCTATTGTGAATAAGCTAAGGCCTATTGTACTTACATCTATATATATATATATATATAATATATTTTTGTAATTTTCAGGATGATACTGAAGTGACAGTTGTGTGGGCTTTACACAGTAGCTCTGATGCAAACAATGGCCTGTCAGAACACACTGAGAAGGCAGTATTGAGTGGCAAGCATAACCTGATCAAAATGGCTATGGCGGCCAAGCAGCCAAAGAATACAGCCAGTGTGATTGTCCCATCTGTTGTGTCAGTTCTGCTCATCTTAAGCGCGTATCTTCTCTCTTTCTAAGGAGAAATGCCATGGCTATCAGTCCAAATGCGCTGACATTTTTTTTTTTACTTGTGTTCATGCTGCGCTTGCACTGGCGGCCCTAGGGGAGGCGCCCCTCCCATCTTCACTAATTAACCTCCCGCCTTTTCGCTGACAAAATAAAGAATTTTTACGTAAGATAAACAAAATAATTAAATAATTAAAATAACACTAACAATAAAATGCAAACGTAATAATAATAAGATATGCAAAATACATAAACAGTGATGAATGCGAAAAAAGAGATTCTGGTTGAAAGTAAACCCCCTAACTACACATTTATACAATCAACTTCTTTACTTGCAAAATAGTCAAAATTTTAACATGGCGTTGTAACCATCCCAAAAAGAATCGCTGTCACTGAAGTTCGCTGACGAGGATGAATAAATTTTAGCTACATGTTAGCCCGAGCATGTTCGAATAAGTATTGGCATAATAGCTCATTTTTACTAGTATCATACACTGATCATACGATTTACGAGAAGAATTTACGCAAGCCTTAGCTCTAAGGTTACATTTGTTGCAGTAGTTGAGTTTCATAATTCAAATTTTATATTCCACATTTCATATTTCACATTTGACACTTCACATTTCACACTTCACGCTTCACATTTGACACTTCACATTTCACATTTGACACTTCACATTTCACATTTGACACTACATTTCACATTTTACATTCCACATTTAGCATTTAAACCATTTAGCACTGATTTACATTCTATATCTACATTCGACATTTCCTATTCCACATTTTCACATTTGACATTCCACACTTCAAATTTTGCATTCCACATTCTACATTCCATATTCCACATTCCATATTTCCAGGAGCATATTACTCCCAAGGTGTTTTGCATTTCATATATAGCCGTGATACTCTGGTGCCTACACGAATCAACGTGTTGATTTAAAGCGACTGATTGAACGCGATCAATAGTCCGGCTACCAACTCCCAGCAATTTTCACAAGGAAATTTGCAGGTTTTTCACACTTTTCACAGCTTTTTTTCCCTGGTTCTCATTCAGTAGTGCAGTTACAGTTGAACCTATATAACGGCTGCCCTGGGGCAGAATCAAATGGCCGTTGTAGAGAGGGAGGTGATCGTTGTAGGGAGGTTCCAATAAGAGTAAAGTGTGTGGATCGGCGCACGGTCGGGACGAAAAATCCTGGCCGTTATAGAAAGGTGGTCGTTAGTGGAGGTTCGACTGTAGACTGTTCTTCTTTAGTAAACATCTACCAGTATACTAATGCAAATGAGACAATCTGATTGGCTGAGCTACTCGTACACTATCAGCCATTAGTGTGCAGTGGCTGGAGGTCGTCTACAAAATTGCGGTTTCTTCTCGTTTCTCCGAAGTTTCGGAAGAAGATTTAGAGTTAATACTAGACAATTATTGTTATGATTTTTACTAAAACAATTAGTAAATTCACAAAAATATATAGTAGTAGTAGTAGTAGTAGTAGTAGTAGTAGTATCTTTATATATAACCGGCACTTTCTCTTTATATTACATTTTTTAAACAAATGAATGGTATATACATCTTTGTAGCTTTTTAAACATCCTGCTTTTTTTCATGTTATGATACTCATTTTATACGTTTCATAGATTGTATTTTGTTTCAAACAAAATTGATGTACTTGGTAGTTGCCTTTGCAAGCTTAGAGCTAGTATAAGTACAGTTTACAGCTAATTAGTTAGAATAGTAACCGTATTGTTACGGCGGATACTGATTTAATAAAATTTGTTGCCAGTTGTTGTTTTCTCCTGTCAGTGAGCGAAGCATACAAAATGAGTTCAATTTTTTCTCAGATCGAAGTAAAGAAAGATTCCGGTCACCCGGAAAGTGACAAAAGTGACGGGGATGCTCGTTGTCCCTTTTAGGGGTGTAAATTTCGGATTTTGGTCCACCTTAGGGTGTTCAGGACGGAACGGCGATATTTTTGGCCATCAAGGTATCTTTTGGGGTTGCACGCGAATAAACAATAAAAAGACACCGTTGTACTGTGTATAATGGTATCTTTTAGGGGTCAAAAAAGGCTTGAACCACGCCCAGATTGGTCCCTTTCAGGGTGTCTTTTAAGGGGTGTAATTTGAAATTTCCGACGAGCATCCCCGTCACTTTCATATGGGAGCCCCTAAGCCATACCCCCAGTCATACAAACGTCTATAAATTTTCCAGTTTTCAACTTCCCTTTTCTCGACTCAGGTAGAACCTAACCTAACGAAACTTCGTACGATTATCAAACAAGAGGTGGTCTTTCAGGTGCTGGTATTGATTTTCCGCTCAGCGGCGGCCATTTTGTAGAAAAGTCTATTAGACAAAATAACTCTTAGGTTTCAACAATCAATATGCCTTTTCCAAGTTGAAAATAGCCTTTGTGGTTCATAACAATAATAATAATATTTAGTATTTATATGGCGCAAATTAACATATGAATATGATCATAACCCGGCCACAGTAAGAAATTTAAACATGTCACATTATAATTTAAAATATGTTTACTACGTTTGGTAACATTTAGTTGGATAGTAAACAAGTTATGAGCTTCAAAACACTTTATATTCTCACGTATATATTAACTCTCCAAATCTGAATTGGGTCAAGGGTCCAAATGGATCTAAATCCACCAATATCTTACATATATATTGTTTGTTTCTTATAGCCGTCTATATTGTAACGCGCATTTGATCATTTGCGCGATATAACTGATGAATGACGGAGTTCGCATGTTATTGAATGACTGAAAAGACTGACGGCCGATATTCTCTAGCAAGCTTCGTTAATGTGTGGTTAGCATCAGGTTATAAGAACTGTTTGCTGCTTGCATGAACAACATTAGAAAATTAAAAGAAAAGGTAAAAGAGCAGGCAGAAAGAAACGTTCCGTCTAAATTATAGCTTTGTAGAGTTTTTCATAACCGAGTTATTACGAAAATAATTTTCAGAAAATTACAGTATTTAGCATGCAGTCGCCATATTGGTGCCCTTCTTTGGGATACCAATATGGCGGCCATAAAATTGTACAAGAAGTAGAGATTCTACCATCAATATCATTAGCTTTCACTTTAAAAAACTCTTTAGATATTACTTCTAAATTATTATCACTTATGAAAATTTAAAAATGACATACAAATATCCGTTTTGGTCGTGTTTGATACAGTTCAAAAACACTTTCATCCCGGACATCGAAAATTTCAAAATGCTTTATTTTCGAAACGAAGCACTGAATCGATACCAAACTTTGCATCAGGAGGTTAATGTCTCGCTTGTCTAGAATATTTAAAAAGAATAGTTTTGTAGACTTAAAAGTTTAGATTTTAGAATTTTGATGACGTCAGATGCAAACCAAGAATACTATTGTACAGACCAAAAGAGCTGTAAACTTTACCCGTTCCATTCCCAGAAAGCATCTTGATTGGCTTATTTTTAGTGTCCTCCAAAAACTAAAAATAAAAGAAAGTCTACAATATTTCAAACACTTCCTTGACGTGATCCATAACAACATAGCTCAAGCGTTCAAGTTTTTTTCTTTTGCAAAGAAACTTCTTTACATTGTGTAACTTTTGCAGTCTTTTCTCCGTCAAATATCATGAATTTGAATCACTTGTCATGACCTTTATTTGGCAGCTGTTAAACCATCAACGTATTATATTTCTTACATCGGCAGGCAAACGTTTTTTGTGTGCTGTTATTTATTGAGTCGGTAACGATCAATTGATATCGCACCAGCTATAAAAATATCTAGTAATACGGTGATCTTTTCAAATGCGAATGCCGAAAATTGTTTTCTGCCTCCAGCAATATATTAAATTCTCGCACGGATGATATTCACTGCAAAGCAAAACAGACATGGCTGCGTATACTTACTTGGTACTCGTCTTAGCCTTACATTCCTTCAGCGAGGTCGATGCAACTTCGTACGCACGCCTGGAGTCTCCTGATGGTTTCTTCAAGCTACAATGGACTTACAACAACGGCAAGTTGATATTCAAAATGACTTGTAAAACAACAGGCTGGTGTGCTGTGGGATTTACCACAACTGCTGATGGAAAGAACATGGTGAACTACGATATAGCGGTTGGCGGGTTTGCTTCTGGTGCGGGATACATTGATGTAAGTCAATCTAAACTGTGTTGTTGTTTTTCATCTTTTTTTGTCAGTCAGAGTCGGCTAGGGGGTATGTCATAATGGCTTTGTAGTCTGTTTACCTGTTTCAGGTAGGGTAAAAGCCATTCTGGGGCAAACTGGCCCACACTGCCGGAGCTCATCCCGGTTTTCGTAGCATGAAGCCGACTAGGAGTATATTGCTATTCCCCTGGATGGGATGCTAGTCCAACGCCAGGTTACCCCGGCCCCAGCATTTTGTTAGGTTGCCCTAACAGTTCGCCAGTTGGCCCATTTATACTCCTGGGTGGAGAGAGGTACTGTGAGAGTCAAGTATCTTGCCCAAGAACACAACACAGTGATCCCGGCCAGCGCTCGAACCTGGATCGCTCGACCCGGAGTCCAACGCGCTAACCATTAGGCCACAGCGTCTCCCACCGTCTGTTTGACGTTTAGCTGTAATGTTGTAACATTTGGGAAATCCGACGTGTAAAGTTTATCATTTTTTACCAACTTTCCATGATATCGTAAAAATGCCATGTCGAGATAGAGTTTCTGATTGGTTGATTCAGACGAACGTGGGTACGGTAATTGACAAAAACAACAGGCTTGAAGACAATAAATGGCTTTGTAGTACAAAGTATTCACTCTGCACTGTACTCATAATTATTACAAATACAATAAAATGTTTGCTTTGATTTTTCCAACAGGGTTACTATAGTACCACTGTAGGACTGCCACCAAAAGATGCAACGCCAAACTACGAGCTCATAAGGCAAGCGAAGATGGCGGACAAACTGTTGTGGAGTTCTCCAGGGTTGCTGTTACAGGAGACAATGATGACGATATTGAGTTTAAGGTAATTAATGTTCAACTATTAGAGCGGTTTTCGATTGAGTGTCGAAAGTAATCCCTGAATTGCTTTGGTTTTGCTTTACTACGCTCTGTGATTGGTTTAAAAATCTCGCGCCACCTACTCAACCAATCAGATGCAAAACCAAAACCAATCGCGACTTGGTCACACGCGTTTTCCCGCGCTTGGCGTCGGTTACGTGTATTTGCTTCGAGTTCTCATTGGTTCGTTTTGTTGTTTACGTTTGTTGTGATTGGCCAATGTAATTGCTTTGGTTTTGGTTTCACGACATTCGATTGAAAACTGCTCTATATGGAATATTTTAAGAACATGATAAAGTTATACAAATTAGCAGCCTATAATATGGAAACAATCAAGTACAAAACTGAGTAAAAAAATCTTAAAATTCATTGTGCAAAATTGTCACAAACAAACAGTACCACATGAAAGTAGTGCTCAATAGTTTTCATTTGAATGGTCACAAGGATAGGGTTTTACCCACAGACTTAAAAGGTACAGCCACATATATTGACTCAAGGCTTGATGAGTGAGTTCGCAGAAGTGTAAAACTAACAAAGTCATATTGATGACTTTAACATGAAGAACTGACCAACCTCATTCCCAGGGTCCCTCTTCTTCCCGCCGCCTGGAGACTCCCGCCGCGGTCAAACGTCTAAGCATGCGAACAAAAATAAACTACGCCGACAAACCTCAACATTACACCGTGTTTTAAACAAATGGTAAATCAACTGAATGCTGGAAATAATGTACTGAACTTTGTGTTTGAAAAGTCTGAACTTCTCCGAAAGCAATCGCGCCAGCAAATACGTCATGTTGCTTAGCAACTTCGGGGCTCAGTCCCCCTCGGAGGTGAGATTTCGTCATCAACTGGTACTTATTCCCCCGACTGTTTCATCTCGCGTCATATACTACGCAGCCTTGATTTTGTGTGTACTTTTATTTTGTTTAATCACATCTGGATATGTTTTGTAATTTTCAGGGTGACACTGACGTTACAGTTGTGTGGGCTTTACACAGTAGCTCTGATGCAAATGTTGGTTTGTCAAAACACACTAAGACGGGAGTATTGAGTGGCAAGCATAACCTGATCAAAGAAGCTATGACGGCCGGTACAGCCAGTGTGATTGTCCCATCTGTTGTGCCTGTTCTGCTCATCTTAAGCGCGTATCTTCTCTCTTTCTAAGGAGAAATGTCATGGCTATCAGTCCAATGCGCTGACAATTTTTTGTTTTACTTGTTTTCATGCTATACGCTTGCATTGGCGGCTCAGGGGAGGCGCCCCTCCCATGCATCTTCACTAATTAACCCCCCGCCGTCTTTTCGCTGACAAAATAAATAATTTTTGCCCAGGGTAAACAAAATAATTAAATAATTAAAATAATACTAATAATGAAATGCCAAATAATAGTAAAATAGTGCAGAAAAATTAATAACCACTGGTAACGTGAAAAAATACTTGTTTTTGGTTGATTTTGTAAGGAATTATGAAGTATTTTTTAGTCGATTATATCTCTTTCGCGGTAATGGTGACCTATTCTTTTTATTCTATATTTTGAATGTTCAACCAGGAAAAGTTTCAGAAACTTTCTAGTGCAACTTTTATTTCGATGGAATTACCTTAATTTTTTGGTAGGTTGCCTTTGCAAGCTTAGAGCTAGTATAAGTACAGTTTACAGCTAACTAGTTAGAACTTTGCCTCTGCTTCAAATAACCGCATTGTAACTGGTAGCAAGTACTGATCTAATAAAATATTTGTATGTTGTTGTCTGTGTTCTTCTGTCAGTGAGCCTGAAGCATACAAAATAAGTCCAAAATTTCCCAGATCGAAGTAAAGAGAGATCCCATCTTCCCGTTACCTCAGTTCAGTGGCTATGCGTTTGTTGAGCTCCATTATTGGTTAAAGGTGCAGTGTCACCAAGATTTAGTACTACTTAAACATCCTAGCAGAAGTATTTGTATCAATGGAAATCCACTAATAGTGGCCTGGTCTTGCTAAAAGTTACTATACATGTACTAGTACAGAAAAAACTGACTGTTAATTAATAAAACATTTCTTTGATTAAGGACGAGTAGGAAGGAAGTGGAATGAAACTTGAAAAAGTCGGGCCGATGTTTTCACGTTTTACGGTGTTCTTGGGAAAAATAGCTCAAAATCAATTATTCTGGTTTGTTCCCACCTCAGGAGAATTAATTGATCTCTTTCTTTTGTTGTTCAGGAGCAATTTTGTGCATCAGCGAGTGTACCTTCATAATTAATTCAAGCGTAGTTTACACAAAAACTTGGGAGAATTCTCGTGATACTGCCCCTTTAAAAAGGGTCGCGCAGGGCTCGTTTCCCGAACAGCGGCTGGTAATTAATCGAGCCTAGCATCGTGTTCTAACCATGCAAGAGACGATGATCTGAGAGAAGGATTCCCCGTGCGCCATGCTGTGAAAATTATTTATCTCCTTCCGATCGAGGCTCTGACATCACGTTAATGGCACTGACCAATCAGGTAGCGCTCTTAAAATAGCTAAGCTATGGTCTGAAAATTAAACAAATATTTAAAAAATCATCATTTTAGAAGGTGACAATGTTTTTTATTCACTAATTTTAATTTTAAAAGCCACTTTTCAATTCTACGCGCGGCTCGGGTCGCAGCTCGCGAGTGTCTCGCGCGTTGTTTATCCCGCGAAAAATGCAAAAGTCTGGCCACGCAGGCTACACTCGAAGGGTTTCCGATTTTTATTATCCAATCAAAAACGAGCGCATGCCGTCACGGTTTCCGAAAAAGCACGGCACAACAAGGATACATCATGTTGCTTAGCAACGAAAACCGCGCACTCAATCAATGACTGGTACTTGTTCCCCCGCGGACTGATATCCAGACAATTTTGAAATATTTTTTGTTTTACCTTAATTGTTCGTCTATTATATCGAATTATAGCTCCAAGAAATTGTGTGCATTTATTAATGAAATCAAAGCGAAGCGCAATAATCATAAGTTGTTATGATTCGCCGAAAAACAAAACAAATCATAGCATCTAAATTCAATTTTATTAATTAGCCATAGTTTATTATTACTTTATCACTCCATTTCAAGCTGTAAAACTAAGTTATGATTTTTAACAGATGGTTGTATTCCAAGAAAATATTACATTTTGCTGTAATGAAATGGGGATTTCTCTAGATTTGGCGCCCGCGCCAAACCCCAGACATTTTTCATTGAAAATTGCATGGCAATTTTATATTTGCATTCTTTATAGCAATCTACTTCTGAATAGGAATATAACTCCTTTTTGAAATACAATTTCCTGTAAACAATATACTCGGAATTAGACATTCAATGTAGAATACAATTGTTAAATTAAGTTCCAGCATCCTTTAACAATGTTTTTCTAGGGCGAGATTGCATATGGCTTCTACGTTTATCTTAAATTAATGTTTCTCGCAACTATAGTAAATTACAGATATTTTGTCGTTTCTTTTTTTTTTAAGTCTGCTAAGTACGTATTCGGGTTGCAAACGACTTTCTTCAATTACAAAGTGTCCTCGCCTCCGGTCTGTTTTCAATGCCATTATTTCGTATTTTTATTCATATTTTGAGCTAAAATCGCTGCTCGTTCTGCAATTGGCACAAATCCTTCTTCCTTTCTCCATTTTGTCAATCTTGCTGCGAACCAGTTCTGAAAAGTACAATAAAATCCTACTTGAAATTCACTGAATGAAAATTGCTGAAATTGTAATAAATTATGAAGCGGCAGCGAAATAACAAAGTTCCGCCGCCCATATAAGCTTAATTATACCTTCTACCTTGCGATTGAGAGTTATTTAATATTCATATATCAGTTTTAATAAAAGCATTCGGGCAAATAAGTAAATATATTTGCATGGGAAGGCCGGAGTCGAAATACTTCCGATTTTTTGACGATTTGACAAATTGTGTAGGGAGGATTCAAATTTCAACTTTTGTATTCAAATCGAAGTAAAACATATTCAGTAATAAAATATCACCACTCAATATAAATCGGCAAATCATTGTCAAACTTAAATCATCATGTTGACAGTTTTACGAAAAAGCACAGGAATAGTTAAAAGCAAATCGGTTACAAAGATCATTTCGGATCGATGAAACTTATTTCGCAATAAAGATTTTATAATTTTTCTCGTCTCAAATATTTTTCAAATAAGTATGATATTTGGAATACCACGAAAAGTACATATATATAAAGCTCTCAATCGACCGGCCGTGAATATAGCCGGTCTAATTAATTGCAGTCAAATTCAGTCGAATATATAATACGCCGTCTCGATATTAAAATTTTTCTTTAAAACTTCAAAGATATCCTTTCAGTTTCGAGAGCGAAATTTCTTGAACACTTTTTAACACTTGATGTTGGTTTTTCTGAGAACGTGTCAAAAAGGAAAACAACAAAATGTTTGAATCTTACCTCGATTTCCTCTTCTTTAACTCCTATGTCGGCGGCGAGAAGTGACATGCTCAATGAATCCGGAAATCTGCACGACTTAAACGCGTCCTCCAAAGCTGTTGACTTCTCTTTATCTTCCCCAATCTTC